ATTTATGCATGGGGTGTGTGTGTGTGTGGGTAATCCTTTCGCCCAGCCTGCACCCTCTCCAATCTGGGACATATCTCTCACAATCCAAGACTGCTGGCTTCTAACTGCTCACCTGCCTGCCTGCCTGATTGCCCCTAACCACTCTGCCTGCCATCCTACTTGCCCCCAACTGTCCTCCTTTATTGGTTTGATCGCCCCCAACTATCCTCCTCTGCTGGCCTTCTCACCCCCAACTGCACCCCCACCGCCAGCATGATTGGCCCCAACTGCCCCCACCCTGCCAGCCTGCTCACCCCCTACTGCCCCTTCCCCTCTCCCCCCCACCAGCCTGATCGCCCCCAACTGCCCTCCCCTCCTGGTCTGATCACCTCTGTCTTGGCCCTGCCACCATGGCTTTGTTCGGAAGATCTCCTGGTCTAATTAGCACATTACCCTTTTATTAGCATAGATTCTCTTTGGTGTGGTGATATTGTCATCTGGTTTTGCTGGAAGGCCTTACCTTGAAATTTATTTGCAGGACCTAGTGTTAGAAGACCTGCCATGCACCAATTATAGGTTCCTTTATACTCTATGTTCTAACCTTTAGTGCCCTCACTAAAGGAACAGGCAGTTTTGTAGTTGGCCTTCAAGATTTTCCCCTGGTGTCATTAAAGGAAAGGAAATGCAAAGCAGAGGTGTGTGAATTTAGAAATGTTGCAGGGTGAGCCGGAGGCAAGTCAGTTCTTTGAAATGATGTTCCCAGTCTACTGGGAGTGACTCACCTTCTGGGTGGACTCTTTAAAAGGGAATGGCATGTATGTTTAACCCTTTTACCAATGGTTCCCTAAGACTTGGAGACTTTTATGTTCATAAATTCAGAAGTGACAGAACTGGTCCGATAAGGGAGCAGGCAGGCATGCTGTAGCTTGCTTTATGTGACTGACACCAATCAGTTCCTTGCTATAGGAAATACATATTGCTATCAGCGCAGTATGCTTTTTCAACTCCTCAGTCTCTCTCTAACCATTATGAAATGTCATTCCTATTCCTCAGAGGTACAATCAAATGTAATTATAATGAAATCTTTCAAAGTGCACGATGTTTTTGTGAGATATGTAGTAAGGTACCATTTATTAAACCCTTGCCAAATGATCATATTTTGGCCCAAATTTCATCCTTGCACTAGCTATAAAAATTGATAAACAGTTACTTGAGGGCATGCATAACCTCTTTAAGATGAAAGACTGTTATTGAAATACTTGAATAATACCAATTTGGAAAAAATACCAATTAAGAGGTTTTTATTTGATAAAACAGGGTACAATTAGATGCTTTTCAATATATTATTATAGTTTGACACTTTGTGTAGTTGAGAATAACAGCAATTAATTTGCCTTAATATATTCTATATTTTCACCTTGTTAGCCCAAATTGCTATGATTTTTCTGTATTTCATCATTTTTAAGGAGAATGTTTTCAGCAAAGTTTTTTTTCTTTTTTCTTTTTCCCCCCCTTAGTCTGTAGGCTATTCTCTTAAGTGGAAAATGGCTGCTGAGTATGCGGAAAGAGCACAAAAACTTCAGCAGGAAGATACTATTTATAATCATTTGAATTTTCCATCCCTGAAAAATTCTTAAATTGGGCTTAGCAAGGCAGTCCTATTTAGCAAGCTGCTTGGACAAAGCAGAGGCTTATTGTCAAGTCGGGTTTGGACTTCACCTGTCTGTCCCGAGTCCCCACCTCTCTTAGCAACAGTACCTCTCCAGTGTCCCAGAAAAGCTCTCACAGGTTCTTAAGCTTGTCTTCCTGCAGGACCCCGTGCCAGGTGCAGCACCCCAAGTAGTGCTCTCATTGGCTCCATCAGCTTTAGTGGGTCTGGACTAGAAATTAATGACTGTTCTTGCTGGCCCTTCAATTCCAAAGTTACCAAATCTCAGATCAGATCCCAATATGAGGGATTGATGTGCCTTTGCTTTATCATACATCAGCCGAATGTCTTTGATTTTCCCTTCACTAGTAGACAATTGATTGGAAAAGTCATCACCTTAATCATTTGAGGGTTTGAGTGAGGTGATTTCAAGTGAGTAGGTGATATACTTGGAATTTGGGATGTCTTGTCTATGGGTTTGCATGCCTCTTTCCCCGTCTGTTCCCTAGTGTCTTTCACTCTTCTGAGACTTGAATTCCTGTTTGTATAATTGGAATTCCTTGGCTTCCCAAATGGTGTAATTTCAGCTTTCTGGTCCAGCAGAAACTTCAGCGGTGCTTACACGGTTTCTTTCTCTTTGCAGCTAGAACTGTCTCACAAAGCCACATGGTGCCAACCAGGCCTCTGGAGGGAATATAGCTTTCATGATGAAAAAGGAATAACTTATTCAAGAGAACCCTAGTGGGGCTATTGTAATGAGCTGACGATTTCTCCAGAGGTTCCCCTGTCCCTGTGTGATGACAACAGAAAACGTTTTTCTAAACAAGGAGGTTTAAAGCCTCCCCTGGAAGTATGCTATTAAGTCACAGGCGTTTTATTTCTCTGCCTAGCCCCATCGGCTGCGGCTGTGGCTTTTGTTTATTTGTTTGTTGTTTCGGTGAAATGAAATCTGCCTCCAAACCCACCCCACTTCCCCAGGCCAGATCTCTGAGAGGAGGCTCCAAACGTTAAAACAATTCTCAGACTTATTTAGGAAGTAGAATAACGGGAAATACAGCATTTTTTTTTTCTTTTTTTTTTTTTCTGAATGTGATGCAAAAATGCTGGCCTATTGAGCTAAAAATAACAAATGATAAAAGTCAGCATAAGTCAAATAGAGTTCCTTGGAGTGAACTCTGATATACACTGTTGGTAGCGATAGCAAAGTTTTAAGAAAAATTGGGAATATAAAAGATTATTGCCGAGAAACTCCTGTTCATTGTTTTAAAATTTATCTGATTCTTGAAAAGGATTGCCATTTTTCAGTTTTACCGGCGGAACATCTAGGGTGAGTTTTTGAAACATCAGTACTCCAATGGGGCATAATTTGACAGTCACTGGTTTAAAACGTATTAGCCGTATAGTGCTCTAGGAATCGTTATAATAAAATTAATGATGGCAATGTGTGATCATGTCCCGAATGTAGTATTCAAAGAGTTTCCTCTGGCGATTAGCTGAGAGTTGAGGCACAGAGGAATCTGATGACAGATCCCTTATATTTGATTCCATTCATGGTAGAAGAGAGATGTGATTGACATTTAGACAGAAGACTCTCACTCCAGAGTTATTGCACAGTGAGCGAGAGGCCAGCCTGTCAGTGCTGGTGTCAGGCTTGTTCCGTGCTGAGAGAACAGCATCATTGCGAATGGAAACAGCAAAGAATACCAAGGCTGTAGCTTGAGAAGCAATATATACCGACACTGGGAGGGAAAGGGCTATTTATTTGTAAAAGCTCACCATCAAATCACAGGATAAACAACTCATAGAGGAAAATCCATTATAACTTGTTGATTTCTCTAGGCCCTCTCAATGGGGTGTTGAACTAAACTCTCAAATGCAAGCAATCGTGATGGGGAAAAATCCATCTTTTATTATTATCTTTGCTGATACCTCTTTCCAACTTCTTTCCATGGTTGTCTGAATTATATTTAAGCATATATAATCTATTTGATGTTAGTAAGCACCCAATTTAGCATTTATTTCTGTGGATGGAAATATGAATTATTATGTTTAGGTTAGTAATAACAACACTACACAATTTGATCATTTCTGAGTACATTGATAATATTTTCATCTCCAAGAGGGAGTTCCGAGACTTTGTATTCATTTTTGAAGCAACAGCAGCTTTCAGTACAGAGGCCACACACGTTTTCTAATCTCACTTTACTCAATTTCTCTACCGGTCTGGCTCTGATTAGAGGTTTAAATAAAATTGTGATTCTTCTCTGCATCGATTATGTTAAAGTATTTCTTGTCTTTCTCCGGACACAGCAGTATTTGCAAGAAAATGAATTGTTATAAAGTTATAGCAGAGCAGCACAAGTGTTCTTTGAGGGCTATTCTACTAAATTTCCAGATAGTTGAGACTTTTTTTTTTTTTTTTTTTAATATACTCAACTTCACTTCATAAATAAATCTCACAAGGGTACAGGAATCCAATGGAGAAGTGCCTGTTTCCAAGTGCTCTCAAGGTGCACATAAACAGCTTTGGTTTGGGGACCCAGCAGTGGGCATGTATAACAAAATGAATTGAAAAGAAAAGTTGCACATAGAGTAATTTTAATCCATTCCATTTTTAAATACCACAATAAATTTAATTTTCACAATAAATTAAATAGCCATATTCAGTTTACAAAATAGAGTTACTTAGTGTGAAACAAGTATTTACAATAATATACACTATGTACATGACATTTCTCTTTGTTGACATAGAACATGGAAGTGAAAGGACTTTCCAATGTATGATTGACATGCTACAAGTGACATCATGGTCCATACGAGAAAACAATAGTGCAAAATCACCACAGGAACTTTGGGACAATGTCAATTTTAGGAGATAGGACATCCTTTTAAATAATAAGAAAATAGGATTTTCTGTTTTCCTGGCTCCAATTCAGCATCTGAATTAAAGAGCCAGCTTTCCCTTAGAAAAGAATGCATAACCAAATCCTCTCCTTCCTGCAGCTTCACAGCCATTGGTACTTTTCACACATTCATCTTTTGGCTTCAATTTATGTAAATGGCAGGTGACAAATTCTGACACAAAGGAAGACTAACTCTTTGAGAATAGCTGAAGTCCCTTTCCCCCAATACCACCACTTCTTCTTTTAGTAACTTGTCTCTCAAAGATGCAACTAAGCAGACAGCAAATTGTTTTTGTACATTTTCATCAGAAAAAAAGAACTGGACTTATATTTGGTCACACACTGTGTATATACAAGTAGAGATGGAAACATGACTTGGATAGTTGTGTCTCGGAAAAGTGCATATTTCAATGGAGAGGAGACATGGCGTGTCTCCAGGCACAACACATGGTGTTGTCTGACTTATTATTTTAGGGCCAGTTCAGTGTCCTCCCAGTGATCTGGTAAAACTTTTGATTGAAAGGGTGAAAGAATTTGCGCAATTTGGTAATGACAGAGGGGTCCACCTCTGGATGAATGCGCCCCTTGCTGCCAGCCAGGCACTTATTAAAGATAACGTTAAATCGCAAGCAGTAGAACCCTCTGGTAACATTGAAATACAAGTTGTACTGACTTATTCTCGGGGGAAGATTTAGGAACTTCTCCACGAGCTGAAGTTCTGGCAGAGGCTCCGTGATGAGGCGATCTCCATCCACAATGTGAAACTGCTCAATCGGAAAGTATTTCAACCACCTCTCCAAATGTTTGGTGTAGATGCTGGTTCTTACTGCTTTGTATTTTGTGTTCACTTCGCAGGTATTAGGGTCTATAGCCAGCTTCTCAAACTTGTAGTAAGTTTTATTCTTCCTCTCCTTCCCCTCTAGCACCTGAGTGTAATCAGAAATAGCTCTTGTGGTTGGCTCCCTGACAATGATCAGCAACTTGATGGATGAGTTCATTTTGTAAATCCTTTCTGGAACCTCCTCCGTGATAAAATATGCCGGGCTCTTTTCAATTGTGATTTGCTGAGGGTAGGAAAAAGGCATCTTTTTTCTATACCACTCAATGCCCTTGGCATAATTCTCATCATTGTCAAAAAAGTGGATTTCTTGAGAGGCTTTGACCACAGCTGGATGGAGGTTCAGCATCTCAAGCAGGGCCCTGGTGCCTCCTTTTCTCACCCCAATGATAATGGCCTTAGGGAGTTGCTGGACCAGGTCATGAAGGCGAACCTGTTCCTTGGAAACGTTGCCCTTCCGGAACTCGTGCAGCAGGCCACGCTTGAACTGCAGGGCACGGAGAGGGAAGTCAGCCTGCCCGCGGGCTCCAAATCGGCCTTCAATGGGGCAAATGGGTTGTAGCCTGCAAACAACAGAGACACTATAAGAACCTCACTGCCACTAGATTCTCATTTTCCTGGTTCACCAGTCAGAGTAAGACTTTAAATGCATAAATAAAACCACTGTTTCCCTGCCTGATGCAATCCATAATGAACATATGTCTGAGAAATTTTATTTTAAGCAACACTATATTAAACAGAGCACACATAATTGATGGGATTTTTTTTTATTAGTGCTCCTTAAATTTTTTATTCACCAAGCACTTAATTGACTACGGCACGTACTTATGTTCACACAGTACAGGACAGACAAGTGACACCAGTCATACTAATAGCTTTTTAACGCTCACCAGTTAACATTATTAGAGAATGTGAAAGGTGGGAAATTATAATCTTGAGCTGGGAGACTGAAGGGCAGCTAGGAGGCTAGTCTTTTGGGTTTTGTGTGTATTACTATCTTGCGGCATTCTTATGGTTCTTAAAAACTGTTGATGTATAAACCAAAAAGAGGTTGCAGTCTCTGCCTTTGGTTATTTGCATCATCAAACTGAAAAATTCCAAAATTGGCACTTGCTGAGCTTTTCATCCTCTTGAGAATTTTTGTTGTTGTCCTTAGGGACAGCTGGAAGAGTACTGTATTTCTTTTCTTCCTATCTAAAGTGGTCAGGGTGATGTTTTTACTTGGTTAAATGTAGGAACAAACCCAATGCCATCAGCAAGTGCTATACATCACTTACCATACCTGGGACCAGAAATCAACACAGCCTAGCAGGGGCAGAAACCTCAGGTCCTCATTGCCAAAACTGTTTAAATCAGGAACTCAAGCTCATGAAGAAAGGGATGCAATCAATGGAGCCAGAAAGAAGGATTCCCACTTCAACATTGCCTTAAATAATGAACCACTGCTTCTCTCAGAGAAAAAAGGTGTGGTGATAATTATGCTATTAGACTGGAGTGGCTGTTTAATATATATGGCATAGCTAATATATATGGTTAGTACATTGAGTTTCCTTTGGTGTATAGTCTGGAATGGAACTGAAATTCATTCTAATTTCCCTAGGATTATTTGGAAAGGCATTTTAACCATCTTGGTAAAGGGTAGACGCGTGGTAAAAATGACTCTTAAGCCAATGCCTTCAACTGAAACCTCTAGTTATCCCAATAATTGGGAGTCTGTGTCCACTCCTCTGTGTCAATAAGTTTCTTTTTTTACATTTCACAAGAGACCCTATTGTACCTCTCCTATCTTCTGTAATGTTAACTTTAAAAGGAGGAGAGGAGAATCTCAAGGTCATGCCAAGGCATTCTGCAGAACTGAGAAAGGGCTTGGCTTGTGCTCTGTGTAAACAGCCTATTCAAATGCTTAAGCAAAAATATAAACATAGTTTACTTTTTTTGCGGTGCTTGTTTTTTTTTTTTTTTAATGATTTTAAACACAACTCATGCTCATCATGGAAAACATGAAAATATGGAACACTATAAAAAAGTTGATCACAGTCACTATGTTAGAGAGACATAAATTTTGTTTACACAAATTTGTAAAGATTAACGCTGGAGTTCTAAATGAAAGATATAAAGGGAGCAACACACATAGAGTCAAAGATGTTTTTAATTGTGACATTGGTTGGGATATCACAAATTCATCTTTTAGCTCTTCTTGACTGACAAGTAAGCACTAATTGCCTAAGACATCCATTGAATATACTGGATGGACTTCTCTCTTGAGCATCTAGAATGATGCTAGCATCTATCATCCTTGAAAGAATTAAAGCGATAGTCAAGTCCTTTTCTGTAGGACTTAATGCTCTTGAGGAATTCAGGCTGAGAGAGGCTGAAATAGAGTCCCTTTCCTACCTCTAGAAGGGGCCATTTTTCTTCCTTCCTTCCTCTTTCTACCTGCTACCTTGGGAGCTCATGGCCTGCCGAACAATTGCTTGTTGCACTCCATAACTCAAAATTGGAGAAAATATCACCTTATTTTGACTTCTTGAAGAGTAGATTCTGAGCATGGGGCTCAGACTATGTAACATGTACTCTAAGGATTGGAAGGAACTATAAAAGTAACTGAGCTCAGCCTACCATTCGGAGTTACTATAAGATAAGCGTAAGTTAGTATGGGTAAATTTTAGATGCAACCCACTCATACTCTCAACTGTGAACTTTTGAGAAAGCCCAATAAGCGATCTATCTCCTTATAAAAATGATCCCATTTGAGACCATAAACTAGGTGAAAAATGAAAAGAACCAACTAAGTAACTAATACCTTAATGACCATTAGATCAATTACTCAATAAAAAGGAAATGATTGGGAAGAACTTGATATAAAAGTCCCTTTATGGACATAGGACAATGATACCACCTTAAGGCTTTTCACTAATAACTAAACACTACCTTTAGGGAACTAATTGAAGTCAGTGATAAACCAAGCATACCATTTTGAATAGTTAGCAACTAGTATGTGGACGTTTACGCTGGATTTTTTAATTGAAAAAGATAAATGGGTTCACTTTACCAGTCAAAACTGGCACTGGCAGAAAAAAAGTAAAAACCATTGCTATATTGTTTGGTAAATGTTTATGGTAATAAGATCTATAGATTAGAAAAGGAAAACTGCAAGGGAGATATTTTCATTTTAAAGTGTGGCTGCATTTTCACAGAAGATGGGAACGAATGCGTGGAGAACACACGTCAGCCTCTCCAGAGCAACAGTTAATTTCAAGAGCAAAGAAGGAAGCTTCACTTTTCAGAAATTCAGTTCTCTGCACAGTCACACTGGAAGTTGGACAGCCCAGAGGTGTTCATTGTGAAGCCGGATGATATTGCGTGGCTTTTGTAGGTTGTGCACCTTTCAACTGTTTGCTTATTTAGAGCCAACCCCTGGCTCTGTAAATTTCCTCTCCATAGATTTTCCATTGGTTTCTGGGCAATTACTCTGAGTGACAGGCTCCTTGTCTGGTATATCCAACTCCTGAAAACCAGAGCCAATTAACATAGTTCAAACTCCCCATGCCTGCAGCCATCTTTCCAGGGCAGTGGGTTCCAAATTTGATGAGCTCCTTTATAGGCACAAACATAATTTTAACTCTCCTGGTAGCACGTTAATGGCTCACTCATAAATTTCAAAATGAAAATACCTAAATACATCAGCACCATCTTGCTATGGCTAGAGGTCAACAACCAGATGCACACAGACCAAAGTGAGCTTTAGAAAATGGACATTTCCCCTGTACATGGCTTTATCCCTTCTCTGAAAATAAATGTCAGTGCACACAGAATACAAATGGATCCTGAAGAACACCTTGATTTGAGCAACTTGGATCTCTGTTTTAAAGGCTCAATAGATCAAAATCAATACTGCAAAAAAGCATTTTTCTTGGGAATTTTGAAGAAGGAAAACAAAAGGGTAGATTTAAAATTATGTCCTAAGGAAATTTAAGTCAAGAAACACGTAAAGTCACATGAGCATAGGTATATGTTTAATCACCTACCTATCCAAACTCCCAACTCTGGCGACTAGATACAGGAGACTTCCAACAGCAAGGCTTCCCAGCACCAGGAGCTTCTGTCTCAGCCACACCTGCTGTTTGAATAGCATGGCCCTCCATCAACCTTCAGGACTTCTGTAGCCTGAGAGATGGGGATACAAGGGGATTCATTAGTGGTCTTCTCTTATAGGCTCTTTTACTTGTCACAAAGCCAAGCAGGGGTAGGAAAACAGGTAATTAAGTGATGCTGCATGAAGAACAGACCTCATACCAACCTTGACAATGTTCATGGGTATTTAGCAAAACTTGGTTTCCTTTTTCTGGCCTTTAAGATCAAATACAAAATTGGGAGAAGATACTACTAATCAGACAGAACCTGCTGGACAATTGTCAAGGTAAATTAAAATGCATAAATTACAACAAATAATAAATATATATGTCTGCACATACATGCTTACTAGGGGCCCGGTGCATGAAATTCAGGCACTCATGGAGGAGTGGTGTCCTTCAGCCCGACCTGGACTCTCTCACAGTCCAGGAGCCCTCGGGGAATGTCCGACTACCGACTTAAGCCTGGAGGCAGGCCTAAGCTGGCAGATGGATATCCTTAGTACTGCCATGGAGGTGGAAGAGGCTCTTGCCACCACTGCTAAGCTCACCAACCATGAGCCCAGCTTCTGGCTGAATTGCACGCCCCCTATGAGGGTATGCTGACCACCAGGTGGCAACTCCTGTGTTGAGCATCTGCCCCCTGGTGGTTAGTGTGCATAATAGTGACTGTCCCGCAGTTTGATCAAGTTGCATATTAGCCTTTTATTATATAAGATATTTGTTGTTGTTAACCATTAAAAGTATTGATAACATGAGCAACTAAGCAATCTGAGGTTTACTGGCAGGGCAACCAGTAAACTGAAGTTTCTGCCTTCGAATAACAGAGCAAATATAGAAATTGAAACCTCAATTCGGTAAGTTATTGTTTGGGGCATAACATTTTACCAACTTGTGTTGTTTTGTTCTAATTGTGAGTGAAGGAAGCGAGCAAGATCAAAAGCTATTTCTTTACTTATTAAAGTTATCAGGGTTTACTCGCAGGACCCCAGATGTTTAAGTAGAGTGGCATCAAGTAACCTGATCTTTCCTTCAAGTTCTCCGCCAGTTTCTGAATTGGACTGAAAACAGTCTTAGGTCCCTGCTCTGTGACTCCTCCTGTGGGTGGGTTTGGTGATATTGGTCTTCCTGTTACATTATAACAGAAGGTTAACTGGGAGCTTTGACGTCACACCTGAAATAAGGCTAGCGAAAAGTATAAGACATTACTATACTTATAAAAGTATAAGACCTTACTATTAAATTTGGGGGGAAATGCAAGCTTCCAATTCAGCCTTCTTATTAAAAATAAATCAAAACCCCCTTTCAAGATAAGATTCTTATTGTAGCTCAATATAGTGACCCAAGAAGAGGGACTACAGCAGTGGGCTGTAGATTCTCCCTTTATGATATGCTCAGTTATTACCATGGAGGTTTTGCTCTGTGGGATAAGCTGCTACTTTCAGACCAGTCCTTTATATATGAGATGTCTTAAATAGACTCATTGTATGTGTGTGTGTGTCTGTGTGTGTGTGTGGGGGGGTGTTCTTTCATTGGGAGGTTTCATTTCCCCAGCCCTATGTTTGTAGGACTGGCTTAGCACTACCTCCTATACTTTATTTATATAAATATATTGGTAACTTACACCCTCAAAAGCATCTTCATATCCACTGTGACACTGAGGAGAATGATAATTTTAAAAAAATATTTTTTATTTATTTTTTACAGAGAGGTAGGGAGAGGGATAGAGAGTTAGAAACATCAATGAGAGAGAAACGTCGATCAGCTGCCCCCCCACACACCCCCTACTGGAGATGTGCCTGCAACCAAGGTACATACCCTTGACTGGAATCGAACCTGAGACACTTGATCTGCAGGTGGGCGCACTACCCAATGAACCAAACTGGTCAGGGTGAGAATGATAATTTTTATTTGAGATCACAATTAATGTGAATGAGTCGTCCATGGTGAAGTGCAAAGACCACTGGGTTGAAAGTCAAAGACCCCGAGTCACATTTTGGTTTAATTTTGTAATGGAAACTTTCTAAATTTTGGTATTCTCATCTGTAAAATGAAGATAACTATGGGAAAGAACTTAATGGATATTTGGCACTTAACAAAAATAAAGTACAATTGATTACCTTTGGGAGGCTGATAAATTAATTCTTACAGTTCATTTTAAAGAGGAAAATAATAAATGACATTCTCATTAATTGTACAATTGGATTTTGAGAAATATAAGTCTATTTTTAATATAAATAAAATGTCAGTTTAATGGAAACTCCTGTTAAACATTAGAATGCTAACAATATATTTTCTGTTCAAAGAAAGATGGCTCATTTAACAAAAACAAAAGATTAACACTTATCTTGTTAGGCTGAAATCTCTTGGAATGTTTGAGATGTGAGAAAGCCAAATGCATAGTTCTAATGAGTTTCTCTAGGGCATAGGAGTGAAATCGTTCTGTTTTATAACCAGTCTCAGACAACATGCCAAGAGTCAATATAGCAGCCTCTGAATAAAGTTTGCTCAGAGAAAACAAAAAATACTTGGTTAATTTAACACTCAAGATTCCTTTAAAATTGTTTTAAAATAAATTTTTATTTATTGATTGATTTTAGAGAGAAAGAGAGAAAGGAAGGGAGAAACATCGATTTTTTTCCTGTATTTTCAGTTCTTGATGCACTTTTATTTTCATAGGTTGATTCTTATATGTGGCTTGACTGGGGATTGAACCTGCAACCGTGGTGGCATAGTAGGCTGATGCTCTAACCCAGTGGTTGGCAAACTCATTAGTCAACAGAGCCAAATATCAACAGTACAACAATTGAAATTTCTTTTGAGAGCCAATTTTTTAAACTTAAACTTTTTCTAATGCCACTTCTTCAAAATAGACTCTCCCAGGCTATGGTATTTTGTGGAAGAGCCATACTCAAGGGGCCAGAGTCATATGTGGCTCGAGAGCCGCAGCCTGCCAATCACAGTTCTAACCAATTGAGTTATCTTGCCAGGGTCAAGATGCCTTTTCGGTTTTCTACAACATCATGAAGTGCTTGAGCCTTTGCCGAAAGGGAGTCTTAAATGTTGGAAGTTATTGACTTTGGTCTAGGAATATAAACTAGAGATCCACTGAGCCAAACCAGTTTTGGCATATTATGGGGATCTTAATCTTTCATCAGAGCAGTCAGAATGGTAATAGACAATTTATGTAGAGTGAAAGTTTTTTAATTAAAAAAAGGTAAAAGACCTACAGTGATTTTAAGCCTGCCTTCATCACGGGTTTTTAATATTTCAGTGTTTTTCATGTTGCATTCCAAGAACAGCCTAATTATCGTTTTTCCAGATTACTAAAGCTTTAATAAACACAGCATCTTAGCTGAACAAAGCAGAATGTCTACATAACAGAGTACTGGCCAGAAGCGACAAATTGTAAAGACATCTGGCAGCTTCTCCAAAGCAGCACTAAGCAAAGAAGGAAATGATTCCCAAGCTGAAACAAAGAAATAAGGAAATTAGAAAAATAATAAAGATACGTCCAAGTGCTGCTCAAAGGGTTGTCGACACGGTTACTGCAAGCCCCTGATACCCATAAAAACAATAACAGAAACAATAGTAGCAAAGTTCATTAAAAATGACTGAACTTATATAGCAGAATTATTCCATGACCATCTTTTGAGTATTAGCTCATTTATCCTGGGCAACAGCCTTATGCAGTGGACAGGAATGACCATTTTTGAGCACTAGGCTGTCTGTTAGTTTCTTTTACATTTTTTTATCTTATGTAATACAACAGACTTGTGAACTATTATCCATTTTACTTATTTATTTTTTTGATTGGAAAATGAAGAGAGATGAGCAGATCAAGGGCATGTGGAAGGAAAATGTGGAAGAAGGATTTCAAATCCAGAATTCTTTGACCCCAAGGAAGGTGGCCCCTTGATTGCAAAGCCACTAATCCAGCTTTGAATGCTCACCTGGGAGACAAATATTTGTTTATTGATTGATGAGATTAGACAAAACCACTTAACTCCACCCAAATTACCTGCCATTGAACCTGGAAGTAGGGTACAGGAAGGTAAGAAAGAAAAGTAAAAGAGGGAAAAAGTTTTCCATAGAAGGTCAGGTAAAAGAGGCCATTTGGGTGGTTTAAACCTGATAAAAGGAACAATGTTAATAAGTAATGATGACGATAAGGATAATAACAACAATGAAAGGTAGTATTTTTAAATTTATAAAATCTTGTTAATACTCATTATACCAGTTATAATTAAGACTGACCAGAATCACAGGAACTTCACTTGTTCTCCCCAAAATTCAAGAACTGACTTTCTTTTTGATAGCTTTCACAGTAGGTGACAAAATAACATTTGGATTTTTTTTTTGTGTTTTTTTTGTTGTTGTTAATCCTCAACTGAGAATATTTTTTCGTTGATTTTTAGGGAGAGCGAAAGAAAGAAAGAAAGAAGGAAGGAGAGAGAGAAACATTGATGTGAGAGAAACACTTCGATTAGTTGCCTTCCACACGAGCCCCAACCAGGGCCTGGGCAGGGGAGGAGCCTGTAACCAAGGTACATGCCCTTGACCTGGAATCAAGCCCCGGACCCTTCAGTCTACAGGCTGATAGTCTGTCCATTGAGCCAAATTGGCTAAGTCTACATTAGTTTTGACTGGCATTTGATTCACATTCTTATGCACTGATCTCCATAAGATCTTGGTTACATTTGTTAACTATTAACCCATCCCCACCCACTCCTCTTCCCTCCCCTGCATCTCTTCCCCTTCACTCTCTGTGAATGGCTCCCCTTCTGCTTAACTACAGTCACCCAACCCAGAAACCTTGGAGTCCTTCATCCTTGGCTCTATCCCTCCCCTAATATCCATTTAGCCGGTAAAATTCTACTTCCAAAATGCTATTAGAATCCACTTACTTCTCTGCATTGTTATTTGTTACTGCCTGTGTTCAGGTCACGCTCTTTATTTTAGAGAGTTATGTTCTCTCCACTATTAGTTTTGCTCCTGGTCA